AAAAAAAAAAAAAAAAAAAACCTCAACACTTTTAATAATGTGTTTTTTAAAAAAAAAAAAATATTTGAAATTTAAACTGAAAAAAACATTTTTTGTAATTTTTTTTAGAAGTTTTATTATATTTTTATTTTCAACTAGCATGTAATATGTACTAATAGAAATGAAACAAATGGAGACATGAGATTTAAATAATAAAAACCATAAATTTTATATAATAATCCAGAACTCAACATCCAATAGGAAATCATGCGACTACAATGCTTGCGTCAAAACCAAAATACTCAAATTTGATTTCATAATCTAACTTCCAAGGTTTTTACACAAACGAGCTCTCTTCCAAAACAGAAACCACAAAACCTCCCACAAAAAATGCATTAGGGAGGAGTTTCAAATTACTTTCCACCAGCATGCTTGGCTTTTGTGTGGGAATCAAGGCCTTGCTCAGATGTAAATGTCCTGCAAGCAAAACCAACAACAGCTGTTATTTCAGTTCCATTCTATCGTAACTTGTAGGATTCTTGCAATAGCGTACACCAAAGGTTCAACTTTGCAGACAAAAACTACGAGTTATCTTTTAAAATTACATGTAACATGTTACATGTACACAAGAAACATAGATGTTTTCAGAATCGGGCTCAGTAATGGTAACTATGGATTTTGGTGTACCTGCTGCAGCTCTTGCAGGAATGTGATCCCCCGGACTTTGGTGTCTGCTGGTTTGGCTTGTTCGCAGGTGTCTTCCCAGCCTGTTTTGCTGGGTGAGGTGTGGCAACATGACCACCAGCCTTTTTTCCATCTGTAGTGACAATAAAAATACTTCACAAATATTCTAAACAATGGAGACTACAATACACATGAAGCTAGACTAGTTATAATAAAATTAAACGAGAATTACCAGTTTTCTGTGGAGTTGCTTTTGCCTTCTTGCTTTGCACGGGCGTTTTTGTAGCAGATTCTGATGGTCGCTTCTTGCTTGGCTCAGCCTTCAGGGGGAAGTGTAATAAGTTGGATGTATACATATATGTTACTAATAATAATAATGATAACAAAGAAGTAGAACCTATGAGACAGTTAATTGAGGTGCACATTACCTTCTTTGGTGTCTCCTCATCACTCTCAGCAGATTCATCTGAATCATCTCCATCCTACAGTTATTATAATTTAGCAATTAGTCATATATTAAAGCACCCAACTTTTCAATTTCAGAATTCATGCCGGACAATCAGACACACTCATTCCATGAACGTCAGTCACATTTAAGCACATAAAATTCACTCTGCAGAAATATGAGTTTCAGTATATATTTATGCTCGAATATAACTCACTAACTCACACACAATTTCAACAAAGATGAACCTAAAATTCTCGCAGCAGATGCACCAATGATGTCCTAATTACAGAGAGAACACCCAGTTTGAATGTTTTCAATTGATCAGTTACACCACAAGAAAAATATGACTAACCTAAAGTTCAATCTAAATAGAAACAAGTTGTGAACTTAAAGCTATCACATAAAGTTTAGAAAAGATGGTAAGGCAGTCAAAGTCCTATCTAATCTAGGTCAATTTCATTCCTAGATGGGAACGACAATACCACAGCAAGGTAAGTTCAATTGACGGACCACTTTTATCCATCGGAGGAATTGTCTATTCATGGTCAATTTCAACTGGCCAACATGCCCTAAAACGAGTTAAAATATACCTCAGAGTCATCTTCATCGTCGTCCTCAGACATCGCGTCTTCATCAGCGCTTTCATCATCCTCTTCACTAGCATCCACATCTTTCTTTGGTTCCACAATCTTCACCTTTTGCCTACCACCATCAGACTCCTTTCCTTTGTCAGCATTAGCTTTAGCAGCCTCCACAGCTTTTCCTTCCTTAGGCTTTGACTCAGGTTTCCCTACAAGTAAGACACCATTTTACAATTTTATGAACAAGTTAACGAATTTTAATCAAGTCAGCAGCAAGAGCTACAAAAATGGTACCATTATTAGCAACAGGAAGTGGTTCTTCCTCTTCTTCCTCAGAGTCAAATTCATCTGGAAATGTATACAAATAGTTCATGAAGTTGAAAAGAAGATTTGCAGCAACTAGGGTAACATGTAATTATAAAATATAAGAAGATGATCATTGAACAATGGTTACCTGATTCTCCCTCTGGTCCCGTGCGAATCAACAAAAACACGTAGTTAAGGAATACAACTTTAAATGAGAATCTATATAATACAGCAACCAAGATCAAGATATACATCCAAAACTGGAAAATGTGTGTAAAGGATATTCTTCAGATGGGTTGCTGGCCTTGTATCCATAGAAATAGACACTTGCATTTTTGAAATTGTGCGACAGCTCGAAATCTCTGTCAAACACTAAGTCAAACTGTTGTTGAGGCAACTTATCAACAAAGAGTGTTCCAAGAACAAGCTTCTTTCCATCAATATTTACAAACAAGTAGACAGCTTCATTTCCTTTCTCCTTTTTAAGGTCACCAATACAAGCCTGTCGAAAACAGGGAATTATAATACAGAAAAAGTATCATAAAAGGAAAAGGAAACATTATAGTTCAGATGCATTGTTTAGGACCTGAGAAAGATGCAAGACCATCCCATCACCGGGGGAAACCTTAAGAGGCTCTCCACTTTTCACCTCAACACCTGTTAACCATAACAGAAAGAGTATTTTTTACCAAACATATGCTTAAAATATAGCAATTAAGAAACAGCAGCTCACTCAATATTACCACGGAACTATAACATAAACAAGGAAATAACAAGGGCTGAAACGACGCATAAACCCAACAAGCCATTTATACACTGTATACACAACATGAAGAACTGCACTCCACTGCACAGTCACTCGTAAAGCCATTTAAGCAAATATTAAACCAATAACCTCGCGAAATGATCCCTTTTAACCATGATAAAATCAGACACAAATGAAACACATAGACTTGAATAAAAAATAAAGATTAACTTTTACAACTACAGACTGTGATAGATATGGCTAATCCACGGCTTATGCACAGAAATTATGCTAGTCTAATACACAGGAAAATGAAGCAGATAAATTAGAGAAATCCTGACCCCAGAACTCCATGGCTGAAGAATATGAGAGGCTTGGAGAGTGTGGGCGGGGGTTTTAGAGAGAGTGAGTGTGCTGCTGCTAGGGTTTTTGGGAGTTTTAATACCGTGCAGCGCGGACAAGCGTAAAACCAAAATATGGAAGTCGACACTCGAGTGTGTGGAATAATTGGCTAAAGTGGGCTGGCACATGTTTTGTTGGGCCTCTCTTTAAACCATATGAATAAACATCATGAGAGGAATTGTTCAAAGACGATAACATATCAATTTATTTGCACTTTTACGATTCTAGGCAAAAATACATACATAATCCCTAGTGTAGATATTGCAGTTGTCGTCACTCTCTTGTCATCTGGCTATCAGGGCACGTGGCAGATTCAGCACCCTCTCATGCATATCAGAGTCATTTTTCGATCGCCTCGTTTTCGGATCTCGCACATCTTCCGCGAGGGGAACTTGCCTGCTGACTTTCTCGCTAGCATCGAGTCCTCCACCCCTCAGAGACGCATTCTTTACCCTAACGACATTCCTCTACGCCTTTGCACCCTCATACGGATGCACCAGATGGAATACCCTTCTTTCAGATTTGTGTAGTCGGTCCTACCTCTTGGTGCATTTGCCTCACTGTGATGCTGACTATTTCGCCGGGACTCCTCCTGGACCAGGATATGTTATTTCTGTATTTCTCGCTGCAGTTGTCAACCTTTCTTCTATATTTTCTTGCTTTTGTTCTTTTGGTTTTTCGTTTGACTTGATATATATCAGACATTAGATTTGTATCTTTGTGAATTTTCGGCCAATTTAAGGGCCTTTTTATATACAGGTTGGGGGTTCAGCCTTAACACCTCACCCCCCGAGGTGTTGTTTGTTAAAAAAACAAAAAACAAAAACCCTAGTGTTCATAGGAAACATAATCAAGAGAGGATTAATTATTGATTTTTTTTCATTTATACGAGATTGTGATAACCATTAGATATGTTTCTCTCTCTCTCTCTCTCTCTCTCTCTCTCTCTCTCTCTCTCTCTCTCTCTCTCTCTCTCTCTCTCTCTCTCTCCATATATTGAAAGTCATCTACATAATGCGAAAATCACGCAGAAAAAACGGTTAACACATTAAACAGAAAAATGATGGAAAAACATGGCGATCGTGATTACCTCAGTAAAACACGAATCCAACAAACGGGATTATCATATCAACGGAGTCGTGTGTACCAAAAAAAAAAATACATAGCAGCGGGGAAAAAAAACAAAACGAGGTTGTTGTTCGTGAAAATTTAGCGTGGAGTAGTCGTGGAATCAAAAGACGTTTAAATGTATATTCATGTTTATTTAGTTAACTTCGTTGTTTGGTGATAGATTACGAGATTATAGGTTATTTTTTTAATAATAATTTCAGCTTTGGTTTGAGATGAATATTTAAAGGTGAAGGTAAAAAACGAATTTTTGTTGGTTTTTATTTTATTTTAGCAATCATTTCTTTTTTTTTTTTTTGTAATTTCAGATTTCGTTTTTTTATAATTAATCCTTCATTTTTTTTTTTTTTTTTGGGAATTTGTTTATTTTCCCAGGAACATGAATGATGTAAATGTGTTTTTACATCATAATGGAGTATGGATGACCAATGAATACGTGAACTATGATGTCGGAGGTATTTTGATTAGTTCATCATGTAACTACAATCTGCTCCGAGATATTATTTTTGATAAACTGAAGGTAAACGCGTATTCAAATGATCGGAGATGTTGTATCAAGTGAAAGATGGATATCCAACTATGAGTGTGGATGATGGCAGCCTACATTTCTATATTTCATTGAAGTCGAAGGAGTGTGATTACACAAAGTTGCCCTTGTGTATGGTTTTTAAACAATTAATAAACGTCACCTCACCTGTTCGATGCATAATGCCAATGTCTACATATCCGCCTGTGTGTGATATAAAAGGGTTAAAATGTCTTGAACCGGCACGAGGGGAAACTGAAATAGATGGATTTCATAGAGCATTTGCCGAACATGCTGCAGATACAATGTTGGAAACAGTAAAGTATAGGGAAGATAAACAAGAGATAAACAACTTCAGAACACATTTTCAATTTGGTGTAAAAAATGGGCATGGGTCAATTTTTAAGTTGTAATAATATTGTTGAAGTTTATAACCTTTCATTTATTGATACTTCGTCTTCAATGTTGGATGGCTTGCCCGCAATTTCTTTTCGCTTCGATATTGTTTGCTTTGTTTTCAATTGCGGATTTCAAAAGTTCTATCGCTTCGAGTATGAGAGACGAGAGAGATGAGAGATAAATGTTTTCTTTGTATGAGAGATGAGAGAGATGAAAATTTTTTGGTGAGAGATATGCAGAAGGTCCGAGATATGGAGAGAGAGTGAGAGATATCTTTTTTTTTTTATTTTTTTGGTTGAGTATAAAGGTGGTATATTAATTACATTTCCCGAAATTTCAGTTTCTATTACCTTTACTTAACAACACTTTTAAACGCCTAATTAGCCAAAATTAACCACCCCAATTTAATAGCTCGTCTTTTTGATGAATTTTTTTATCGTAAATTTGAAATTATTTAGGCAATTGATTGTAAGGTGGATAAATTTCTCAGAGGCGAATTTACATACTTACGCACACGTAAATCTTATTTGTATAAATACTATTCGTGAAAAGTATTAACATATAGGTCAATATTGAGGTGAAAAATTTTAAATATACAAATCTTTTAATTTTAGACTATAATCATATGATCAATTCCGTAATATTCTAAAAATCTCGCCACTTTCTTTTCGGTTTTGTAACGGAATGATTTAAAGATCTCTCAAAATGATACCATATAAATGAGTTACAAATGAGTCACATTTGACATATATTTCAAAAAAAAAAAAAATCACACGACGAAGAAGATTTAATTATTTTTACTAACAAAAAAATAAACATTCACTCAAAAAAGAGAGAAAACCTCGATTTATTCAACCAACAAAACCTTGAATGTTCTTGATATATTCAACACAAAAATTGGAAGTAAATTTTATTCCATTGTTTTTAATAAATTATAACGTTTACATAAATTTATTTTTGATTTTACATATAGGATAATGTTTGAGTTGATGGTGTACATCCATCACAATAGAGTCTTGATCAACAATAACTATGTAAATTATCAATTTGGATGCATTTCAATAATGAAGGGTGCAACTATGACGAGTTTTGCAATATAGTATTCAATAATGTAAAATGGCTAGGGCGTTGACTCAAACGACTCAAACCATGCTAGGAATCTCAAATGAAGAATCAGTGCAACAAGAAAGAGTCTAGAAAAATGGCATAATGTAAAAACATCTCATAATTCTAAGAAAGTGTAATGTATCGAACAAGTTCTAAGTAATACAAAGTTTCAGTGAAGATATTTAAGTAATACAAAGTTTCAGTGAAGATATTTTCATCTTGTTATTGAGAATGGAACATAAAGACTAGTGAGTATAATATATGTATGATAAATTTGAAGAATATTAAAAGTTTCACTGATGTGTATTTTGTATAAACTATTATATGGAGCATCTATTGTATCCTAATTGTACACTATTCGATGAGGTTTATGTGTTTATAAGACCTTTATAATATTCTTGAGTTTATCATTCGTAACTTGCCCAAATACTTCCAGTTTAACGTATATTTTGTGTAAAGTTTTACATGGAATACCTATGCTTTCTATTATGTGAATGAAATTGCATAAGAACTACTAAATTGAGTTTATCAGTATAGCTCTAGATGGCGTTTAATTAAGAGAATATCGCGTATTGACATACTTTTTTGTCATAAACTTAATTTTATAGAAGTTAAACGTCAAATAAATGATTGTTTCTAAATGGTGCATAAATATAATTTTTAATGAAGTCAAGTTTCAAAATAAACCATATAAAGTGTATTTAAATTTGTAACTAAACATAAATAAGCTATATATTGCCTATATTTATTTTTATTTTTGTAATTTTACGACAAATAAACTTCAAATGAACCATAATTTACATGAGAATATGTACTTAAGTTCACAGAAAATAAACTACAAATAAAGCAAATGCATCACTAATCCAAAAATATTATATCAAATGTAACCCATAAATATACCGAAACTATGATGCAAAACTAAAAACACAATAAAATTGTGAATCTAGATTAAAGCAGAACATGTTAAAGTATCAGAACACCAAATTTAATTTATCAATTCAACAATATCTACTACATGACATTCACAAAGTTCAATGTCAAATAGAATCAACCAACAACTTCTCGCACTCTGAATCAAGAAATGACCTAGGACATCGACATCTTTATCAAAATTGAAACTCTTATCGACTCCGTAGAGAACCTTCCATCAACTCCGGCTCCCTAAACATCGACATCTTTATCAATATCAAAATATGAATCCGACTGAAGCTAACCATATGATGACTTTACAACCATACTCTTTACATTGTTCGTAATACCACTCATCTCACTACAAGAAAATGATAATATTCCAACGGAAATATATTTCAATAGAGATATTCCAGCGGCATTCTAATGGATATTTCAATGCTATTATTTTCGTTGGAATTTTTCAATGGATTCCAACAGAAATTACAAAAAAAAGTATTCCGTTGGAATGAGTTTTCCGTTAGATTTTGATTATTCCAACGGTAGATTTTCCAACGGAGTTGGAAATAAAAAAATCCAACAGAAATTCCTACAGTAAAAGGCGGTTGAAAATATAGTCGTTGGAATCATCAAATTCCATCTAAAATTTCAATGAAAAACACATGAAATATTTCTGTTGGAATCATTCCAACGGAAGCTATACCATTGGAATATCCATTAGAATTTCCATTGGACCATAGGATTTTTCGTTGGAATATAACATTTTTTTGTAGCGTCTCCTTTTTGGATTGTTAAGACTTTCTTCGAAGACTAACCTGAGAAACTTTTTGGTCGTATTCATCTAGTTAGGAAAGAAAGTAGTCATCTTCATGTGTGGTGTTGCAAATTAGGGTTCTTCGACCGACTTGAATTTTTTTTTCATGATATTTGTACGAGATCTCAATTAAGTTATCCTTGCTTCGGCTTGACAATCACTCGGAAATTTTGATATATCTGCTGCTCTTCTCTTCACCATTGATGAATTATTGAAGATCGAGGAAACTCAAAGGGTTTTAGATGCTTTTTTTTTCAATTTGGTAAAGAGAAAAAGCAAAAAATATGACAGAATGGTATTGCATAATGAAGGAATAAGGCTAGTAAAGATCTACATGATTCCCTACAAATATGAGAAAGTTGACTCGCTTATTTGTGTTATTATTTAGTCTTCATATATTTACAAATAAAATCTCACTTATGTATATATATAT